AAACTATTGACTCTCACAAAAGCAGGCCTTTACCATAAAACCACATATTCACAGCAGAAATAGAATTTTCTTCATTGTGTAAACAGAAAGGCACCAGGTACGCCAGGTACCCAGTGAAGTGATGCCATCCTTCACTCAGAATATCCTGAATTACACACTTCAGAACTACACTAGGCTGTTTTAGCAGTGTATCTTTTGTTCTTGGTGGTGTAGGGATAATTAAAAAAAAAAAAAAACCCAAATCATAAGTATTTATAGACAATGAGAAATAGAGCTAAAAATGTCAACTGTATAACTTATTTTCCATACCACTTTATCAGCTTTTGCAGGTAGCTCAGCTACTGAAATTTGAGRCACAGATTTATTGGAAAAAATTAAAAGAAAGCAGCAGTTATAGCAACAGCAATGCCCCAAGGTATCTTCTTCTTCTAAACTAACACGGCTTAATTGCAGATGTCTGTGGATGAGAACTGACTTTAGGAAAACAATTAAGATAATAAATGAGTTTCTAAAGTAACAGATAAAAGCTCATTCAATGTCTTTAAAGATCCCATTTCAGAGACAACCGTGTTAAACCCCAGAGAGGGAGAGGAGAAAGGCTTTGTGAGCTCACCTGTGGATTGTTTTCATGCAGAATTCACCAGTCTCAGGCAGAATGACTCCACTGCCTAAAATGTAATTTTTTAAAAATTTACATATGTAAATATGCAATATTTTTCTTTCAAAAATTGCAAATATATGTAACTTTTTCAATTTTATATGAAATCCACTGCCACCCAATTTCAATTTAATATCTTTTTTAGGCTGCCTTGCKTACAGTGGTACTTTTCCTTAGATACTGATTCCAAGTATAATGAAACAGTCTTTCAGAACRTTTCTTTTAGCTCCCTGTTCATAAGCAGAGCAGTGCTTTCTCTCCATACTATAAAAATATGTCCAAATACATAAGAAAGGTATTTTGTTACATCAATATATAAAAGAAACCTATCAAAATAATGGGAATCAACAGAGAAATAACAACACCAAACTTTGTAAATTTTTAAAATCTCTTTCAGAAGGATTTTTTTAGGGATGGTGGTGTTTTTTAGAACTCAAACCAATACCCCTCTCCCCATCCAATTATCATCCATTTTTTGTGCTCTGAACCAGAGTAGTGGGGTTTTGGCTGCTTTYAGAACAAGGCAGGAGGGTTGATCTGGGAATTGTAGCTGAGTGAATGATGTTAATACCATTAAGCACACGATTCTCTGCATTTTTTGCCTTCCTTACTGAGGGGATATAAAAATGCAGAGTTGTCCATTTTGAACAGCCTGGCTGTGGTCCCCTCACGCTTGGCTCTGCAGGGCTGCTGTCCCCCAGGGCAAACAAGCCCAGTTCCCTCAGCTTCTCCTCACAGCCAAAGCTGGTTCTTCGGTTGGTTCTCCACTGAATTYACTCCAGTTTAGCCAAGTATTCCTCATATTTTGGGACCCAAAATAGTGGTTTAGATGTGCTCTAATGACTGAGGATGTGGGTGATGGATTCAGAGCTTGTTAAGATGCTACAAAGGTATTGAGGAATGACCACAATGATGKGCTCTGTGTTTTAAATTCTTTCTTCAAACAAAAAGTTGGGTCAGACCACTTCTGCCAGCTGAAGGAGCAGATCAGAGCACTCGGGCAGAAGGGGATTTCTGTCTCATACCTGCTCTGTGGTGCCTATTTACAGTGAGCAGAGAGCTTTCTTTGCTTTCCCTTTGTCTTTCCTGCCGTTGTTGAGGATGTTTGAGTGCTCCGAGAGCACTTTCTGAGCACAGCTGCACAAAGCAGCAGATGGGAGCAGCCCATGCCTTTCTCAGCTGCACTCAGGGTGTGCCCTGAGCAGCTCTGGGGGTGTGAGGAGCTGCTTGGGGTCCCTGGGCTGCTGAAGGGACATCCAGGAAGGCAGTGAGGGCTCTGGGTGTGCATGGGTGGCTCTTCATGGGGACGCTTTGGGAAGAACAGGCTGCCTGTTCACCTGGCAGGTGAATGAGCCACATTCCAGGAGTGTCCCCAGCAGGCCCAGGGGATGCTCAGAGAAATGAGAAGAGCAGATTGTCCCAGGTACATGGATGGACAAAGCTGGAAAATGGGGCATTTTGGGGACACCATAGTCTGGTTCTCAGACCAAGAACTTTGGCTTCAGTCTTTTCCTGAGCATTCCAATATAAACCACAAAAACCTCTGATGTTTTTCATTAGAAGATGCCAAGAGCTTGGGACACCTWCTCTGTAAGATTTATATGGAGTGTGTTTTCAGCTGTTTGAGAAAAGCATATTCCAATGCAATCRTTTGTAATCAGCGCTAGGACTTCAGGCTCTTTAATTCCCTGTGATTTGATTAATGCATTTTAGAGGCAGACTGACATGATAGAGTGATTAGACCAAGCCATCCAGCAGTTTTGGAAAGCCCAGCTTACTCATCTGTAATTTTATCTCTTTAGGAGAACTTTATAAATTAGATTTTTCTAATAAATTTCTAACTTGAGAGTATTAAAATTTCTTTATTTGCCAGCGTAGTATATTTTATAATTTTCTTTTCATGGCTTCCCTGCTTCATATTACATTCCATTGCCACTGTGGAATACATGCAGGGAAAAAATTGGCTTCCTTTGTTAAGAAGGTGAAGAAGGTGTCTGAAATGACAACATAACAAATTACACACTGCAATTGTTTCATTGTTTTGTTGCTCATGAAATGGCCAGCCATGAAATRCTACCTGCTGCTGAGTGACTGGGATGTATTCCAAAGTTTGGAAGTAATTTTTTGCTTCCTTGCAGAATATTTGTTTYTAAACTAGGGCCCAGTACAGATACTGAAAGATCATTTTGGGGAACAGACACATRTCTTTGTCCTAAAGCTGAATTGAAATTGTGTGACAATTAAACTGACCAACAGGTGCAATTTGAAATCTCAGGGACAATCAAACTGAGACTCAGTGTAAATTCCCATGAAAATAACATCTGATGTGTTTATGTGTTGAAATGTAAGGAAATGCTTGTAAGTGATGGTTTGAGGACTTCACCAAGCTGCCTGCACTTGCATTGTCTTATGCTCCAGAATGTGTAAYAAAAGATAGGTGTTATGAAGTGCTTTGTGTGGACATCCACAGCTGGACATCTGCATTTTTTCTTGGCAGCACTTGAGCCCAGGTGCTGGAGATGTAGATTATGGAATTTATGMAATCTTGTGTTTTCAGGAAGCATTTTCTTTGAAAAATGAGACTGCCTGATGTAGTAACTACACTGGCTACACATGATCATGCTCTTTGTGTATGTAATGCCCAAAAGTGTTGGGGTTTGCTCTATCAGTGCTCTTGCAGTTAAATATGAGGATTGCTCACTCATTGGAGTGTGCCTGGGGCATCCCCAGTGATGCAGCTTGGGGCTGCAAACAGAAAAGTGTGAGGTATTAACGCCTGCAGGTGTGGCCATGCAAGATCTCTCAAAACCAGCTTTTGTTTTCTGTGAAATGTCAGCTGCGTGTGGCTGTGAGGCATCACCTGCTAACGAGCAGGTCAGGGGACTTGGTGAGCTGCTTTCCCTCGGAAGGCAGGGCTGCATGGCACCACCCGTGCTTGCTATTTGTTCAATAAAGTTTTCAGTCCACCAATTTATTTACTTTCAATTTTGGTTTCAGTTCATTTAACCTTCAGAAAACATTTGTGCTGTCTGCTGCTTGCAGAAGGAAGGCTCCCTCCAGCAGCCCCTTGCTGCATTTATCTCCTGCTGTGGAGCTCCGATGTCTGCAGTAATAAATGGATCCGTTTGAAATGGAAGTGATTAAGTGCTTGTTGAAATGTCTTCTGGAACAAAACACWGGCTTCGGCTTTCAAAGGGCAGATATTGCAGCAGATAACACTCAACCTGGCCAAGGACAAAGTGTTGTGTTTAAACATCACTTTCTGCTTGCTGCTGAGAAACAGCAAGGATATCTGCATTCAAGCACTTCCATTTCTTAACACATCAAAATGAGGATCTCTCCAGAGCTGAAAGTGCCATTGTTGTAACAAGTATTGCTTTGTTTTTAAAACAGCCTACCCATCCTACCAGTTTGCTGTGATTTATTCCTTTGAACTTTTAAACCTGAAAGATACAACAGGAAAAAATAATTGGGCAGACATTGATATTTGCATATTACACTTCTGTCTCTAGAGGCAYGAGTTCATCCAGCTGTACATTTCTRARCTAAAGCTGAATTTGGCCATCCTACAGTACACCCTGGTTGTCCAGCTCAGAAATTCATGTGATTTGACACCAATGTTTTCATCCTGAAAGTGCGTAACGTTGCTTTCCAAAGCTGATGGGTGTCAGTGAAACCATAATGATCCTAGAGATCCTCCATTTTCTCACCATCTGGGAAAAGCTCAAGGCTRAAAGAGGAAGGTGGAGAAGATGTGAGTTCCCTGCCCAAATCAGTGGGACACAGACTGCTGGTCCCTCTGTGTCACACAGCACAGCCCAGGTCCTTTCAGCACTGGAGAGGTCCTGGCAAGTTGCACAAGACTCTCTACATACTGATGTGATAAGTTAGTAATAGCAGTGATTGATAATAATTAATCAATCTAATGACTCAGGGCTATGTATTTTCTTACTCTGAGGGATCCCTGGTAACTATGCCACTACATCCTAAGTATGTGTATCTTACATGAAGTTGTGTTTTGAACAGTAGATACAAACACTAAGAAACCAATATTATGTATTAGCAAATGTGAAAATACAGAGCAAATACCAAATTGTCTTATTTTTCTATTTTCTATCCATGTCCTGTTTTCAGAGTGTGTTATAAGATGCCTCTCTTTATCACATATATTTTTCAAATATGCCTGGAGTATTTATCAAAATTGTTTTAGCTTTCATTAGTGTTAGAGGTGTATAAATTGCAGTAACATTTAAAAATGTTGGGATTGGTTAAAAAACCCGTATGGGATATAAAGATGAGTCGTGATAGGAGCTAACTGCTCTGTTGCTGTGTCTCTGTGCAGATCTGTGACAAGGAGTGGCATTACTACGTGGTGAACGTGGAGTTCCCTGTGGTGACGCTCTACATGGACGGCACCACCTACGAGCCCTACCTGGTGACCAACGACTGGCCCATCCACCCCTCCCACATCGCCATGCAGCTCACCGTGGGGGCCTGCTGGCAAGGTAACACTGAACCTGTTCACAGCACTTAAAACAATCACTTAAAACACCTTSTCTCGCTGATTGCATAGGAAATAACCTGCTAGAAGATTGATGGTATCAAATCAGGTGTAAATCCAGAGTTGTTAATGAATCGAGTCCAAGGATAAAATGGACAGGACATTAAGAGGCTTTGCATTTTCATCACCTAAAGAAGTATTGGATACAGTTTGTCTATTCAGTGTGACAGATTGTCTTCTTTATTTCTTGTCTTCACTTCTTTTAATTGTTTCCCTTGTTCTCCACCCTTAAGCAAACTATCTAGATGTTAAAGAACTCCAGCTCTCTCTTTTCAGCCTGCSTCTGATTTCTGGCACAACTCATGGCCCAGTCCTGTGCTTTTCACATTGGATGTATGTCACCAGCAATTACAGTTATGTACTTGATTCACCCTGTTATGCACCAGAGATAAAAGTGAGAGTAAAAAAAATCCCAGAGTCCAARCCCCTGAGCCATACCTGTATGGGCCTTTGCCTAAATATTAGCTTTTTCTGGTTTGTACCCCTTATAATCCCACTCTTCYGCTTCTTTCTCTGTTCTCTGCCTTACTGAAGTGCTCCTCTTTCTCTACTTTTCTGTTTTTATAAAGTTGCCTCCATTACCCTTYCACGGTGATTTTCTATTTGCACTCTGTCTTGTTCCCTTTTAAAGTATGAAGTGAAGGAACCTATAATTAGGAAACAATGCTTTAACGCAGATTGTGACTCTTCCCCACTCTTTAATGTGATCTCACTTTCTCCATTATTATCTTGTTTGCCAATTTGATCTCTGCTTATTGCAAAATTTGGACACCCTATACATGGCCGGGCTGTTCCGTGTGAATAGTTCTAGAGACAAATCCAGCTTTAMATTATGAACCCTTGGGGTAAAGATACAATCTTTGATGACAGCAAGCAGAATGAAGCCACACTAATCCTAAAAACAAGATTTGATACGATTAGAGTATTGATCACTGAGGTAGGTATGATGAACTAGTCAGCATTGCACTAATCCCATATATTTGGAAAAGTATGGACTGTTTCTTGTCTGGCTGGTATTTGCATGGGTTGAKGTTTTTTGTTACACAGTGTTGGTACAGTACTTTCAGATCAAAGTTCCAGAGTTAGCAAATGCAAATGTCATTCGTAAATTTAGTTCTTTCCAGACATGAGCAAATGCCATAGAGGCTGTGAATAATCATGGAGTATTGCCTTCTGAAAATCAGCATTTCTCAGTAGCTGTGCTAAAAAGATTTTGTTTTAATCCCTTACTTCATGTTTATACTAGATTCTTCTCCATAGGTCTACAGAAACATTTTTGTGCATTATTTTTATTATTTCTGCCCCTTAGCTTCTTTCATTCACACTTAGTGCTTTGTTACTCTCTTATAACACTCTTTAATGTTTGTATTTTTTTTCCTGGAAGTCTCAGTATTGGTGAGAGTCCACTCCCCTCAGCCSTCCCCTGAATCTCATGTTGGTCCTGCTGCAGGTGGCACCTTTAGAGGAGTCTGGAGCAGCTCTTGTGTCTGTAGAAAAGCCCTGCCCAAGCAAAAGCTGTGCCAGATGCTGCATCCCTGTCAAAACAACAACACCTTGTTCGTTTTGCACCTCTGTGTCCTTATCTCAAACTGGGAGAGAAGGAATTAAAGCAAAACTCACATTGGCTCACWATACATTCAGACCATGGAATATGTAGTAATGAATATTTAGTATCTAAGCTGTTAAACAAATAGCAATTGTTGCAATTGTTTTCAAACATTTTTATCTTTGCCTTGGATAATTTGATGGCTTAATGAATTCAGGATAAGAGTCTTTTCCCTTTTTGATTAAACACATGATTTAAACTACTGAAATTGTATCTATTGCTGCTGTTAATATTTACTGCAATATTATGTTMTTGCTCTTTTAATAGGGAGAGAATTGGAGCTCGTCAAAAGTAGAAACAAATTTTCCACCTCATGAAAATGTTAAGATTTAATAAGACAGAGTGCTAAAGATTCTGATAAAATATAATGCATCAGGCAAAAAAAATTAAACTTTTAATGGTTATGTGAAACAARATTTCAAGATACTGCTTTTGGCAAAGCTTATCTTTTGATACATTTGTTTTGATCACCTCCAACTATTTTAAATGAATGGTGGGGAGAGTCACTTTGTTAATAAGATTCAGTGCTGTGTTTCATGAGTGAAATGATTCAACATATAAAACCGATCTATTTTATTCAAAACACTCATTTTCAAAATTTGTGTATTTCAAGAAAAAAAGGACTCTTGATACTCTGAATACTTCAAATATAAATGCTTTCTGTGAARCCATTAACAAGGTGTACTTAGGCAAATACATTTTGCCAGTAAGAATAGTCTAAACCTCTACCTCTTTTCAARGTATTGCAAAGCTGCTTTATAACAGTAAATTATTTATTTCAGTAAAATATGCAGTGATTTTGGTGTCATAAGCCATTCAGGAGTGTCCTTGTTCAGAGAATCTGGGGAGTTTCCAGCTCTGGTTTTCTAACTCTGCTTCCTTCCTTATCAAATCACTGGCAGAGCAGGAGCACTGCTCAAACCTCTTCCCTCAGAGAGGGCAAGACCTTTTTCCTGTCTTTACTAAACCATTTTAGTTCGGAGTCCACAGCACCCATTTGTCAAAGTCAAATTATTTGAAAAACAAGCTCAACTCAGACAASTAAATGAATCAGAAGAAATAACATTGCTTTTTTTCCTTACCACACTGACTCTGATTTGCTGACAGCCAAAACAAAATCATTGTGGCTGTGGGGCAGTGAAGAACTGGCAGGGAGAAGGAAGAGTGTATTTAGAGGACAGTGAAAAAATCCAGAACAASAATTGCAATTTGCTCTGCTGATAGGAACACCTGATACTGCTGTGAGGGATTTACCCTCTCATATATGAAAATGTTCATTTTCCTGCTTGTACCTCCTCCTTGTCTTTCTCAGAGTTATAACATTCAGGAATCCTGGACCTGGAAATGTCTTTTCTTTAAGATTATTATTTCCTATTATTAATATTTCAATGCCTGAGTTAACTGTTTTCTGACTTTCATAGCCTTTGTTTATAGCATCCATTATGAAAAGTTAGGTTGGTTTTTATTTCTACCTTCAGCTGCTCAAGTGAAATATAAGAGCAGTTTAAGATCAGTGCTGTTCTCCTGACCAGAACATGAAAACAAACCAATTGTGCAATCTCTCAGGCTTACGTGACAAATTTAAACCTTAGCCGGTGATGTGCTCCCTGTGCCTCAGTTTGGTGCTTTGTTTTTGTTTTTTTTTTAATGTTGGTATCTGAGGTGGAATAKGTAAATCTCTCCTACATCTTTACTCTCTCCCTGGCAGTGTAGAAATCTTGCCTGATTTGTTTGTTCCTGATTTTATGCAAAATTTTTTAAAATAATTTGAGCTGAGTGCAAGGAACTCTCCAAAAAGGAGGGAAAATTAGCCTTTTCCTGAAGAGCAGATTCTTGGTGACAAGCAGGGAGTGAAGATGGTTGTAAGAGCAGAAAGCCAGGCTTTAAAAGTGATAGAAGAGACCCTTCCCTGGGTCTGTGAGGCACTAGGAAACATTTACTGCAGCCCAGGAAGTGGCCCAATTACTTAAAACCAAGCCTGGGGAATAGTTCCCAGCTCTAATGACACATTGGGCATGAGCAAAGTTGTGTGATTTGTTCTGGCATAATCAATAGGAGCTTTATCTACTTAAAATTAGGTATTCTGAATGTTACCGTGGGACCATTTTCCTTTTTTATTTAAATACCTTGTTTCTTCCTTCAGGGAGCTTATTAAAAGGAAGATCTGAGCAGATGATGTAGGGTCCTACATTCCCAATGGTTAGCCCAGAGTGAGTTATGTTTTGTGTAGTTGCTTGTTCTGTCCTGCTGTGCTTTACTGGGGTGGTTTATTTGAGGGTGGCAGTTTAAGCATAATCTTTAGGCTGAATTGTTTCTGTTGGTTTGGTTCCATGTGAGCCAGGAGCAGTGACAGCTTAGTGAGCTAACCGAGGGCAGAAARGAGCAGCTGCTACAGCTGTTCCTGGCACTGGGCCTTTCTGTACCCTGCTAAAGTTTGACAGCTTTCGCTGCAGGCACTTAGGGTTAATTTTATAACTTAATCTTAACATCTTTAACATTTTGTTCACATCATTGGTCTCAGTGATGATTGTCAAGGGTGTGATTTTGATGTAGGTCAGGTTATTTAAGGCCAAAGTGCTCTTCTGTCTCTAATGGTGAAAGAAATTTTCAGGCAAAATTACTTTCTCAGGGTATCTAAAGAACAAAATTGACTCACTTGCATGTCTGCTTTGCAGAACAAAAGAGACACCAAAGAGAACAGGAGAGAAGTGGCCCTGTCAGGGAGCCCCATCCTCCCTGAATGGATGTTAAAAGCAGACACAGTCCATTGGGATGGCAGAGAACTCCCCAAGGCTCAGCTGTGGTTCTCATTACTACTCTCTTCTTYTTTAGCAAGAAAAATGCTTTAGATTTGCCCTTTTACTTTAAGATTCTCAAGATCTTTTCAAATAATAAAGAGGTCACGCAGTTGTGCAGCAAGGCAGGACAGTCACCCTTATTCTGTGAGGATAAAGTGCAGTATCCAGAGGGCAGACAATTTTTCCTCAGGTCACTTAAAAAATCTGCATCACAGCAAGAATAGAATCAGACTTCATGATCTYATGTTCTTATTCTCCCTTTTGGGTTTTTCCATCCTGTTTCATTCTCCTGAGCAATGCAAACAAATCATTAGCTTGTCCTGGAGCGCRCTTTACAAGAGCTCACCCCAGAAGTTCTCCTCTGAGTTCATTATTTCTGATTCAGTTTATCTGAGGACATAGCAAATGGACCCTTTTACAGGGTGAGAAACTTCCATTAAACCAAGGTTTATAGGTTCCCATTCTGATCCCTTTATTGCTATACATTGAGTGGCAAAAGCAGACAGAGGAAGGGAGCGCGTTACGTGATTTGGTAGTCTA